GAGTGAGTGAGTGAGTGAGTGAGTGAGTGAGTGAGTGAGTGAGTGAGAGAGAGTGATTCGATCGGCGCCGCAAGGTTTGCTTGTAGCAAGTCGCTGAGTCAAGAGGAAAAAACAACACTTTGGGATATGTTTCATCCCCGCACATGGCCAAAGTGATCGATCTTGATTGAATTTGCGCAAGGGGTTGAAAGTCGGCGTAAACCCTGATGTTTCCCAGATAACCCCAGTGCCCGGTCCTAGTCATATGGTTCAACAATGGTGAAACTGAAACAACCTGGTAACAACCTGGTGATGTGCAGCTTTAGGGCCATCTATCAACTGAGAGGACTGCTGCTTGAAGCAGGACTGGGGTTTTCTTGAAGCAGGACTGCTGCTTTCACCACCTAAGTGACAATCTTTACCCAAATGCCCAAACGCTACAACCTCTGGTGACCTGAAGAATACAAGACCTCTGGTGACACCTTGTTTCACTGTTTTCTCCGTTCTTTTTTTCTTCCAGGTTTGGACCAACTGAAATACCCGCGTGGACTGGCGCTGCTCTCAGGGAGCGCCTGGGCTGAGAAGCACAAAACCGCAAAGAGGGGGGTAATGCACAGGCACTCTGATTCCCAGCATACATACCTATCTTACCTTTGACTTTTTGGGGTATGTATGTGTCCCAGAGCATATACACATGACTTGTCTCGCAAAGGATGCTTTTCTGGGGGATGACAGGCGCCGCTGATCTTGAACAGAGGACCTCTGGTACTTGACCAGTGTTTCGTGTGGGGAGTGGGAAGACCACTTGGACATTACTTCAAACGATTTCGGTCGGTTGGAAGTTGATTCGCTCGGGTTTTTAACCACCTTTGAAGGGTCCAGCGACATTTGAAATCACTGGTCGACTCGACCCTCTCTCCTTGTGCTGCGTTGTTTTCAACACGGGCTGTTTTGGATGTGTATGGACAGCGCGGGTTGAATTGATGAGGCCGAGGTAAATCTAGTGCTCCGCCAGTAAATAGGCCATTGAGCTGTTTCGTTCAGTTCTGCATAGTTGCCAGTAGCCAATAGCAGGGAAGGTCAATGATGTAAACTCGCCAGAACGTGAGCAAAATCACAAGGGTCCTGCTTTCCTCAGCAAACCCATGTGAAAAGAGATGGAATGCGCTGCAGCACGACATGTCATGGTTTTGTCCTTTTTCCCCAAGCAGTTTACTGTTGGGGTTGTATCTTAGGAAAAAGGAGCAGGCCACACTGACTGGCCGCGCCCCTGAACTCTATGGCTGGGCTCCGTGGCCGGGTCTTGTCCTCCTCTTGTCCTGCTCTTGTCCTCTGGCCGCGCTGACCAGCCCTGGACAAACTGACTGGCCGCGCCCCTGAACTCTGCGGCCGGGCTCTGTGACCGGGTCTTGTCCTCTTCTTGTCTTCTCTCTTCCTGCTCTTCTCTTGTCTTCTCTTGTGGCCGAACAATTAGCGATGTCGATGCCGACAAAAATCATTGATAAAGCAGTTTGCTCTTGGGGGGGAGGTGGGGCGTACCATCTATATTTGTCCAAACGAATCGTTTTGAAACAGTGTGGGGTCTATGCTGGTATAATCAAAGTGATGGGCGCTCCAAGACTCTACCTCTCCAATAGGATGGATCAGTTTTGTCGGAAACGTCCCGCAGGTGTTCACGCGTTGAGACGTGAGGTCTCTACATTGCGGACAGTGGGAACCACCGTGTGCTTCGTTGGGATGTGTCGGGAGGTGCGCCCGCATGGCCCGGCTTCGCCCGCATGCCAGGCAACATGGTGCTAGTGGTGATGACGTTCTAAAAGTAGCATTCAATTTGTACATGAAAACAATGCAAGAGCGCAACATTGCAAAGTTGAGAACGTATCATTGTTTTTGCTGATTTTGATGTGTTTTGGGTCCAGAAGTTGCAATCAATCAGAATCAGTGCAGATTAGACTGCCGGACTGGCTGAACAGGAAGCAGCGCTGTGGTGGTAGCTGGAGAATGGGGTGTCCTTTATGCTGGGGGCCCCAGAGCAGTCACAGCTGGCCACCCTGCTCCCAGATCGCTGTGTCGATGGGATTTGACAAAGGTGATGGCGTCAACAAACACTCGCTGGCCATAGCCATGGCGGCCATAGCCACGGCGCGTGTAACACAGCCGCTGACAGACTTTCTGACAACAAGTACAGGCTACAGGACCATGTGGGTGTTTTTTAAAAAAGGCATAAGAAAGGGTATCGACCAGTCGAGGTCTTTGTTTCCACGGAGGGAGGTTGATGGACGTTGTAAGATGCTGTAAGTTGCGGTGACTAGTCCAAGACCTGACCTGAGGACCGGCAGAACCAAGTCCGTGCGAATGATGCCAGCTGTTGTCGCGGCGGCTCAGGCCGAAAGACACGAAAGCCGAGTGGGCAGGTTGGGGGTGTAGATGGTACTGTCTCCAAATATATAGATGAAGACAATGAAGACAAAGTATAGTGGATCGAGAGTAGATGGCACAATCCCCCAAAGGTGGGTTTATATGATTTTAGATGGACCTCCATCTCAATGACCACTGTAGTTGCCAATACCTCTTGGGTCATGGTGTTGATGGACCTTTCTTCAGACATGTCCTGGTGGACGTGTGCATGGTGAAGCCACACGTTTTCTGTCGGGTCCCAAGATCCGCCGCTCCGGCTGTCGGGTGATCACTACAGTTTCTTCGTTTGGGGTGATCACTACAGAGATGAAGAAAACACCTGTTCAGAGCTCAATCAGTAAGACCCAAATCAGTTTGGCTATGTTTGGCTCTATTCTATGCACATTCACAAGAATGCGCGCCATATGCATTATTTGTACTATATTTGTACTGTTTATGTAATTCTTTGGCACTATCTATAAACGTCGTCCACCCCCGCCCCAACGTATATATAATAGGACGCACATGGTTCAAAGTGGTCACGAAGTAGACCATGAAGGCCCCTACCACACACATATAATTACTGTAATTGAATTAAACAAACTATTGATGTCCGTCTTAGCACAGACTTCATTGCGAATGTCACATGCCTGTTTCAATCATGAGCTTCACTAAGTGGGTAGTAAAGATCTAAAGCCGGAATTCACCACAGCCACTCAGCCACTATTCAAGCCGGGCAAGCTGTGACTCTTCAGTACAAAGAACAAATACTTGGTGAACGAAGGACGCAAAATCGAACTCGTTCGGACCGATTTCGTTTGTCGTCTCCTCTCCCGACCGGAGGCGTGAACCAGCTCCGTGATCCTCACGGCGTCTTTGTGGATGGCTCCGGCGACATCTATGTGGCGGAGCAGCGGATTTCGGGAGTGAAGTAGCGAAAGATGGTGGTTTGGTGGGCAGATCCAGCAGATGATTTTTGGTGACTCTAGATCAAAGTCAATTATCATCCTTTATCGATCCAAGCTTTGACTCCACAAAGGGCTCGCGTTTTGTTTGCATCCTCTGAGAGGCTACTGGGAACGATCGTGTGCAGAAAGTCAGCAGTGGTGTGGCAACCACCTTTGCAGGCAAGGAGTTGTACATGAGTTTGTACATGTTTTTCTCAAACGGCTAGTAGAGTGGAGCTCCAAAGCTAATTGAGTTGTAACTGCTTCCATTGACTGTAGACTTGATGTCAGTCTCCAGCTGTCAACTTTTGAGTCTTCTCCGTGTTTGGTTCGGCTCAAGTCAAACACGATTCAGTTCTGCAACTTGTTCAGTGCTTATGGGTTTTCGAATGATTGTCTATGTTCTTTAGTCCTGGCTCTTTTTCGTGCGCCGAAGGGAGGCACTACTGTGCTCTCTTACATGCCCTTGATCACTCTCATCTTTGCGCCAGGAAATGGAATGGCAAGCCCTGGTACCAATGCGCTGTTGACGAAGCCTGAGGATCGCAGGGAATGGGGAAAGCCGCTGTCTTGCCGCTTGCCGCTCGCTCGTGACGGATTGGTGTTGAATCGATTGTAAATGGATGAAACAGAGGGTGAGGATGAGTACACAGATGAGAGCATCAGTTCGGGCCAAATGCACGATCGGCCTCGTTCGGGTTCTCCATGGTTGAACCTTAAGTATTTCGGTTTGGCCCACCCAGATCTGGACAGATCGGTTTGTGTTTTTTCTGATCGACTCTCGGTGTCTCTCATTGATCGTCTTCACATGGAAAGCAAACGACGAACCCGTTGGTTTTGTCCAACAACCCCGTCCTGGTCGAAGGAACCCCACCTTTTTCACGCGCGTTTGTCGATTCCACGCGCAGGGGGTCTTCGCAAGCTCCAGCGATGTGTACGTGAGCGACACGGGGCAACATCGTGTGGTGAAGTATGCTTTGGCAGGTGGCGACGGCACGGTGGTGGCTCCTTGACCTTGCAAAAGGGCCCGGTTCAAAAGGAGGGCTGGGGATGGCTGGACCTAGCTGGGCCCTGGGAGGAGTTGGGCCTGGCCAAGGAAAAAGAGGCGAACCTTGAAGCTGCTGATTGGGGGAAGAGTTTGCATGGAAATTGATCCGGCGGAAACAAAGTGAAGAAACACTGTTTGACTGGAGGGGTTTTTGTGAGAAGACAAGTTGGACGAGGCTGAAGCACATTGCCAAGAATTACCAAGTATATGCGGTGCCAGCGGAACAGGTTATTTTCCACCATGGCTGGTCGTTCCCAAGGCCAAGGCCCCATGTCATGAGCTGTGTCATCAAGATTCATGCATGGGGTCAAAAGGTCTTTTACTATATATAGTCCTATACAGAGTTCTCAGTCGAAAGCCCATGACCCAATGGAATGTTTCGTGTCTGACATACCTCCAGGAATTCCAGTGCTTCAACTCATCGAAGCTCCAGAGTGTTGCACTGGAGGCAGTCAAGATCAGCTTGGTCCATCCACATCCATCCTATAATTATCAACATTCTTGCGAAACAAATCATGAACCTGAACACTGAAGACAAACAAAAAGTAAAAACACTACTTCTTTGCTTTCAGGGATTCAAAGGGTGTAGTCTTTCCAAGTATCATGTGTTTATCTTCCACACTCTTTCGATCATGCGGAGCTGGCGCTCCGGGTGACCTCCCAGCGCCCCAAGGCGGGTGGCAACGGCGTGGGTGGCGCTTTGGACCAACTCTCGAGTCCCAGCGGACTCTTCGTCGATGAGAATGCCGAGGAGCGCCGGCCCTCGGGTGGTTGGCTGGCCGAAATCGCCGGTGCGGCGTAAAATGGATGGATTCGGTGAGTGTCACACTGGACGAACCCATGTGGATGAACCATAAGGCCATAAGGCTAGTGACTTAGTGGCTGAATTGTGTTGGACATGAAAGACATGAAGGACGCTGGTTTTTTGCGGGAGTTTGGTTCGTCAGCTTTCAGCAGTTCCATTCCAGGGCCTTTCGGTCTCGAAGATTCTGCCAAGCACAGGGCTCTGCAGGGAAGACGGTAGGGGATTCATGCGATTCATGTGGGGTGCCATTCCTGCTAGGTCTAGGTCCATGCGATGATAATTTCTGGACCTGAAGCATGGATTCAATGCATGCAGCCATGATGTTGGAACACTCTCATGATCTTCTAGTTGATACATCACAACATATCGCAACATTAAAATTAACTAAGCATATATTATGTCCTGTGCCAGATACTCTTCTTCAACCTGAACTGGCTGCCTTGGAGTTTACATCTGCGGAATCTTCACAGCTCTACTAGCTGCCCCAAACGAGAGACCACCGCAGCTTTGGGTCGGTTGCATGCCACAGTGTGTGTTCTGTGAGGAGCTGGGTGTGCCCATTATCAACGTCTATGTGGTGGACACCGACAACCACAGGGTGCGCCAGCTGATTTTGGAGAGAGTCCCCTATCCAAAGAAATCAGGGAGTGTGCTGGAAACATGTTGACAGAGTGGACATATGCATGCTGGCATTTTGGTTCCCTGCCCTTCCGAATCGCTAAAGGTTCATTACGAAAGGCAGGCGGTGGGCTAAGCTAAAAACGCTGAACACTTGGTAGTGTTGGGATACTATTGCGGGCAAGTTCATGGTGCAGAACATGCGCATCAGTGCTCGTAGCATCAGTTGCATCAAGAATGTGGATAAACGGAGAAGCGAGTGCCGGTCCACGGCAGTTGACAAAGCAAGCAAGAAGCTGCACATGCATGAACAGAACTTGAACGCTTTGGAAGTCCTTCTTCATCACCAAGACTGGGGACCAAAGCACAAACACGCTTCGGACGAAAACACCCAAGAGATCCCAAGAGCACGTATTGTGCGCATGCATGTTTTCGTGAAGGGGTGGCCCTTCCCAGCTTCAACTCGGTCCAAGTGGGGCTGGTGGAACCTGCACCAGAAAAAGGGTCTCAATAGACCAGTGTTTCTTTTTTCAGGAAGAATTGCAAAGCCGGTTTCCGGTTTGGTCCACCGCGTCAGGTTGCATATCTAAAGGATCTCCAATCTCATCCATCGGTGAGGACCTAGCACCGGGCGTGCCTCCAAAAAGAAACGATTCTCCGTTTAACGACATGCGGGAAGGCAATGTTTCCACACTTCCCTCACAAAGAGGCACCTGTTACGAGGGCCAGTCTCATGTGGTTCTAGCCTGGCCTTCAAAGACCTTTTAAAGTTGTTCGGTGAAACGGTAAAACCAATCAACACCATCAACTTTAACCATCAAACCATCAAAACGGTTACCATTACCATTGACATTTGGGCATTTTCATCAAAAACCATCAACTCAATCCTAGGGTTAAGATGAAGATGCCCAAACGACTGCTGGGTGAACCACTGACTGCTGAAGCGATATTCCCAAACGGCTCGATCGGCCCTCTGTCCTGCACAGTTGGACAGACCTGTGCAACTATTTTCTATCCTGTTAAACCAAACCCACGTGAACAAGCGAAGAGAGCTGTTAAGATTCGATTGCAACAACATGCAAATGAATCTTCTGAATCGCTGCAGGTGGCACGACTTGACCAGTGAAATACCCTACACATCCCTATATACAGGTCCCTTTCACTATACTACGTGGTGTTCGATTGTAAAGGCTTACTTTTGATGGTACTGGCGAGTGTTTTGCGGTGGGACCGGACAATTTCTGAGTGGAACCTTCCAGTCGTTTGACCTTGAGCCTGCCGTCTTGCTCAGGTGATGCGAGTCAGAGATGATACTCAAGCAGCAACCTTGGTCGCTGGCGGTGCCGGCATGTCTTATTAAGAGGTTGCATGTGTTGTGACTAAGATATTGCTTGCGTTTGGAAACTTTAGAGCTCATTGTGGTCTAAGGGTTTCTTAAAACAATGATCTCAAGTCTTGTCTCTAAGCTTAGAAGGTGATGGAGCTATGTCGAATCAGTTCAAATTTTCGATGTCGCTCGATTGGCACGTGAGGGATTTGATTTGGCAGCTTTGATCATCTTTGAGCTTCTCATATCTTCTCGAAAAATGCCTCTTATGACTCTTATCAAAGTTTGCCGTGCACTATGTTTCTACTCCACAAACTGGGCACCACCTCCCAGGTCCCAGGTGTTCTGTTTAGGGGGCAGCCCAAAACCTGTCACTTCAGCCAGTTCAAGCCACCCAACCCCCCCATGCCGCGCCTTTTCTACCTCCACCAACGCATCGGTACCTCTCCCGAAGGCGGTTGCTTGGAGAATCCGGACTACATCGTTCCTTGTATCCAGGTGGGCGGTACCGCTGAAGGACATGTCGAAAAATGTCGAAAAGAGTTCACCCTTTTTGATCATTATGGTCTGAGAGTTTTGAAACGCAAGGGTGACAGATGGGATTGAGGTTTGAGGCATCCATGATTCTGAGTTCTGAGGATTTGGTACCAAGGGCTGCCTATGGTACTGATCACTTCTCCCGCACCTCATGAGTATGTGACGTTAGTCATAAACTTTGCCACGAAGCTACCTCAGGACCTGAGAGTCCTAATTAATGTGTTCCTTTTGCACATGGATCGGCCAGGAGGCTGTACAAGACCCTTTAAGATGCCGTGCTGTACACTCAGCTGCGTTGCGCACCAGGGAGGGTTGCATGATCCTTTACGCCCCTGGCCGGACAATGATGCCGAATTGAAGCTTGGGCAGAAAGACCAGCACAGTTGGAAGAACGTGCAACGACCACTCTGTAAATCTCAATGAGATTCAGTAATTACTAGTATGGGTTCATTGTTAATCATACACGACAATTGTATACAAATGTGTCTACCACTTGGCTACATGATACATGAATTTAGACTCCCAGACTCTAACAAAAGGGATCAAAAGGGTGTTCTTTGTGTTCTTGTCGTTCCGGTGCTCTTGCTTCGAACTGTCGGTTCGCAGCGGGACTACGCTGCAGACGGGTGAATTGGGAATGTTTGGCTGCAGAGTAGTAGCACAACGTCGTGTTCTTGTTGAGTCTTCGGGTTCAACGACTTGGAGCTGCGGAGGGGCAAGACGTCCGACTTGGTGGGATTGAACTTGCGAAAGACAAATGAACCACTGAAACAATATGATGCTTGAAAAGCATATGTACTTCCATTGCAATTTGGGCAGCATTGATGTGATGTCACAAGGGATCAGAATCGACAAATCAACGCTTCCATAGACATGTCAAACGTGACAGCTGCGCGTAGTCACTAGTCGCAGTTACAGCGGCAACTCCAGTGACTTCTGATCATAAAGAAAGCCATGCCACAAAACACACAAAAACACACAGTGACTTCTGGTCACATCCAGCGTTTCGGTGTCCGTTTCGGAAACCAGGTTTCGGCCGCGTCTTCTCGACTCGCGCCTCTCAGGAATCCTTCCAGTGACAACCCACCCGTGTATCACTTCTTTGGTCCTTCAGGCTGGGAGACTGGGGTCGCTCCAAGTGCGACAGATGGGAAGTCGTCAGGCCACGTCAGGACAGCGTCGTAACTGAAGTTGAGGGTATCGCCACAGCCAAGGTAGACACAGGGTAGATGAATCAAATAGCAGTCTCTTGGGCGAGCTTCGCACACTCCTATCTTTTTATATCAAGTTATACATATCTTCGAATTTACCTTGGTGTTCCCAGATGTCAGGGGATGACGGTGAGAATCAGATGTTCTCAAAAGCTGACTTCTTTTGCTGGCGACTTTGGGAGCTGACAGGATCCGCCCAAGTAAAATCACAGGCTACAACAAAGACGAAGAAGGAGAAGAAGAAGAAGAAGTCCTTTATATAATTAGAATGTGCTATATTGAGTTGGCTGCAGGCAAATCCTCCCGGTTCAGGATAGCAATGTACTACCTGGAGCTAGTACTGAGCACTGAGAGAGACCTGTCAGATCCTGTTGGTAGGTTTTCCAGCGAACCAGTTTCGGAGTGCCCTGTGTGATAAGAGCTCTTGGCCATCAGGACTTCATGTCTACCTGGGAACCACCGTGAATATCACTGTTGCAGACACATTGAACCACCGTGCCACTTGGCAACCAATTAAGGTGGGCATATATGTTTTTAATATGTACATTACATATATATCATATAAACTTTCTTCAGCCCTGCAACTATGTGTAAAGACCTTCCAGCATTCGCAACAATGTTTGTGTGTGTGGCTGATATTGGCTGATGTATGTTGTGTTGTGCCTCAATGTGGTTTGGGGATTCTGCATTCAAGTGGCAAGACCCGCCAATATGAACAAGAAAAGCAAGAGGACCACCAAACCATGAAGGATCTTTCCTTCCTTTTTTGAAAAGCAACGGACATCAAATCAAAGGACTATGCATATTATATTCAAATATGCTAAACACGAGTTTCAGGGAGGTTTTGTCCGTGCTCAGCACTGCTCCAAAGCACTGCTCGCATGAGGTCTTGATGTGGTTCAGCTGATGAGCTTGACCACAAAACCGCTGAGTCGCCGGCGACGCCTGGGCAGCGATTGATTACAGATGGCACACCGGCTGGTACATCCCGCAAATCGTCCACGAGATTTATATACTTGAGGCGGTTTCATCCCTCAGATCACTTACAAAGCAGACCGGCGCTGTTCCGATTCTGCGACATGGACCAGCCAGTGGTGAAAGCCTTTGCAGAGTAGGTTTGGTTCCTTGCCTTTTTGGCTCCCCTGCTCCAGGACCATTGCAGCTCCAGATCTTCAACAATTAGGGCTACCTTTGCGGTTGCACGCGAGCTTCTGTCACTGGCAGGGGCGAAAGGTGGAGCTGGTGATGCGCCGCCCCCCACCACTTCCAGCTCTTGCAAAACCAGCTGCTCCAGCTGCAGGTGTACCAGCAGCCTGACCAACTGTCCCACTGAGGAAAAGAAGGAAAAGAAGATTTGCATGGTACAGATCCCAATGCCCACTGTCGTCATGACGTTGGACTCCGGAGCAGACGTGAGTGTGGCTCCAGAGAACTTCTATGCTCTTGGAATGCCAACATCGAGGACGCACATGGTGGATGCTCAGGGCGAACGAATTCAGTCGGGAAATCGTCGACTCAGGTTGGTTGCTACGGCAAAAGATGGGGCGACGCATCTTGTGGAGTTTGTTGAGCAATTTGCTCTTGGTCAAGGGGCGACGCATCCTTTGCTGTCTCTCGGCCTGTTGAGACAAGGATGGGTGCTCTCGCGAGATCGAGATGAACTTTTGCTTGAGCATCGTGAACGAAGCCTTCAAATACCAGCGAGACTCGAAAGGAACTCATTGGTGATGGAGGTACAAGTGTGTGCCGTTCGTTCGGAGGAGGATGACGACGTCACCATGGAGGAGAAAGAATGCGCAATGCCCCCAGAAGTAGCAGGATCCAAAGAGGAGAAAAGAGTTGAAGATGCAGAGAAATGTGGAGAGCCCAAAGAAGAAAAGCAGTGAAGATTGAGAGAACATCGAGAAGGAGAAGGTTGAGAGTCCAGAGACAGATCATGCGGAAAGAGCTTTGAAAGGAGACATCACCCCTGGCTACACATCAGAGGACACCATCCATCAGGTGCATGACAATGAGAGTAGTGATGGTCGGACACAGAGACGAATGGCCAGGTGGAAGTAGAAGCTCCAGCCCGTGAAGAAAGAGTCCGAGTTGAGCCCGGAGGAAAGCCAAGGCTTGGGAGAAATGAGTCATGGCATGAGAGAAGAGAGTTATCTCAAGTTTGTGAACAGACCATGGATTCCATCGTCGCCCAACATCATTGCGCCACGAGCCAGCTCTGGATTCATTTCCAGAGTGGAACGGCCATGCTTGAGAGTGTTCCCGGCTGGCATGTTCTGCCAAATGGTATTGTCGTGCACTCCAATCCCAGTGCAACACACTTTGATTGCACAGCTTCGTTCGAAGCGCCCGCGGACGTGCTGCACATTTTTCAGCGCGAGAGATGCCTCTACTTCCTTTCCCAGCAGCAAGTCGGAGGTTACTTTGCCCTGCAAACAATTGTGCACTTCAAGGACCATGTGCTGTCGATGAATCAGATCCATATACTTTTGCAACACCTCTTCATGGGGTGTTGAAATATCATGACTCAAGAGGGTGGCTTTGCTCTTTTCAGTGAAGGGTGGACGGCAGACCCTGCACTTGGTGAGGAAACGGTTGGTTCCATGGCCGACCTTCGAACGGTGCCGAAGCGGCAGATGCTGAAGACGAGGATGCGCTGCTTAAGATGCAGACACCACTCATTTGGGGACGTACTTCGTTTGCAAAGACGAAGGACCGGGCTCGCTGCTGGGCTGCAACCGGTTGACTCCAGCGATGACAGAAACACGTTTCCCAAACCAACAAGAGCTTCTACGATTGTAAACGTGGGGGGCATTGAACTCGGGCCAGGGGATTGATTCCTGAAAAGCTACTTTTGCCGCCAAGAGGACTCCCAGACAGTCGGAGATGAGGAACTTTTGCCCACACCTATTGGTCTTCGAAGCTATTGTATAGTAACATTTAGTAACAGGAAGCTATTAGTAACAAAGGGCATCGCTACTAGGAACAAGGACGCTACTAGTAGCTCCTGGCCTTACTACTAGTAACAAGAAACTATTATGATAGTAAATCTACTTCGATAAAAAACACTCCCAATACACTCCCAAATATGTCCCTTCTGACCCCCTTTGTGGATCTTTGTGGCTAAGGCACTTGTTCTTGACCGCACACTCGCCGGTCAGACAAGTGACTCACTTGCCAGACTTGCGGGCAAATCTCAGAGAGAAAACGCGACTAGGGCATACTAGGGTTGCGGCTTGTTCAACAAAGGGAGGAAGGAAGTGGTTCAACACGTGGGTTTCAGGTTTGGTCTGTTCCTGGTGAAGGGAGATGCGTGGTGTTTCCTCCAACCACGGGTCCGTGGTAACCTTCCAGGCCATGGCGTCATAGGCCACACTTAGCCATGGGGCCAACGGATGAAGGGATGCCTTGCGATGCAATTGGGCCATCAATGTTCGATCGATCTGAACGGCTTGGTTTTGGTCAAGTGGCCCAAAATCATTTAGTGTCCCAAGTCAGGTGCAATTGTTCTACAGGCCCACTGCTTCAGCAGCTGGTCACTCGCCTTCAGCTTGTCACATGCACCCTCCAACAAGGCCATCCAAAGGGCCCAAACCGTCCTCACCGCCCACGCGTCAGATTGGTGTGCAGTATCACCTTGGGAAGTTGGTGGACAAGTGCATCGAGCTCATCGTTGGACGTCTCAGAGTCTCGTCGTCCGAGTCGGTCTGAGTCGTCCGTTCCCAGCTCATCGTCGGCTCCCGGAAAGGCGCCCAGAAAATGACGAAAATGGTATGGACCAATCTCATCACAAGACAAATCCACACGATTGGTAGTGTGGAACTATGTGGAACTGGTGACGTTGGGCTGTGAAGCCTCCAAGCGGGAAGAGGATTGCTGTTTTCAGTGCTGCCTGACCCGTTTCACTCGGTCACGTAACGCGTTGGTCTCCCCTATAGTGGTGGGATGTTCGTCGGGGGACCAGGATGACATGGCCCAGGGGTCTTGTTCGTGTGGTGGTTTCAGATATAGTTCTATGTTCAACCTGAAAACTCGGGATGAGTAAAAACCCCACACGAGTTTTGTTCAAGCGAGCTGAAACCACGAACTATATTCTGTTCAGAATCTTCATGTAGCTGATGCGTGTTGCTTTGCTGATGCGCGTAGTGTTTCAGTGGACGACATGCGTGTTTGCACATAGGAGACTGCTCAGACCTGAGGACAGTGACATTTTGATATAGACGGCCAAAGATGTTGCTAGGCAAACTGCTGTTGGAGGTCAAGACAAAGATACGCTATAGTCATTTGCGTAAGTCATTTTGCAGTTCTTTGCCCGCCCACATTCTCTAAAGTCTAAAGGAAGAAACTAATTACTCGCAAGGGTCCAAAAGTGAACCTCACAGAAACACAAGTCAATTCACCAGCAGGGTTGAAACATATATGAAACTGGCGGAAACTGGATAGTAGAAACTCATCGTCCATGTGTACTGTACATATTATGTACATTACAGCTAGAACAGTGACAAACATCCGCAGATACCTCGAGAGGGTCATCGTTTTGGGGTCGCCGATCAACAGCTCCATGACGCATTGCAGCTCGCGCGTCGAAGTACGTGTCACCATTCTGATTTGTACGTGATCACCACGTGTCACTGGGTGAAGACAAATATGTCACCACGTGTCACCTGATGAAGTGCTGATGAATTGTTCCATCCTTTTTTTTCCCATGTGTGATGTTCATTTGATGTTTATGTCCCAGGGCTGAGTCAGACTCACACCCTTCACATTTGCAGGGCATCGGGCGAAGCTGACCTTCACCTCGCTCAGGTCACAGACGACCATATCTTGGAGTCTGAGGACATGGCATCTTTGGGCGAGTGGGGGGGCGGAGTGGCGCTGTCGAAAAGCAGAGCAGATGCACACGACCCACGATTTTAAGAATCCACCGGTCTCATACTCATTATAAACTGATGGTGCATCCATCCACACCCAAATGAACATGCAACAGGGTTTCAGGCTTCACCACACCGGTTCATCTCTCCCGACCCTACGAGGACTTCAACAACCTCTCCCAGAGCGCGATGATCGAACTGGCTCGGACGCCCAGGGTCGGTGGTGGAAGAAAGAAGGTTGAAGGAGCCGCTAGTGACAATGCAATTAAGAAGTCAAGAATGGGGAAGCCTCTGTCTCAACACTTACCCAGACTGACCATCCATATAGCCTCCACATCGGCAGGTTGACATTGACCGGTTGATCCGGATTCTGTGTTTCTCCACATGAGGGAAGTCGCCCATGTTCCCCTTCCCATGCTCCCAGTGTACAGCAGGAGGCCCCGGTCCAGGTCCATTGGGTGGCTTCCGGTCCCATCGCCCCGGTATAGATACCGTGAGCGGTGCCAGAGTGTTTCCAGGCTTTAAGAGGAACCGGGATGGTCCCAAGGGTGTAGATCAGATCAACATGAACCCCAAATGCAGGCTAGGAGGTTCATGTCAGAAAGGTGTTGACGCATTAAGTATTTTGGGTGATTTTGTTTTAACAATATTACCTGAGGTTGGCCAGAACGCCGTGCCATCTCATGTGCCATCTCCCTTTTATCAGCAGGCGACTGCTGATCCTATGCGCCCACTCTGAATGGAGACCCCTTTGATGGTGCTGGAATCATCGTGCCAGTCAAGGGGAAGCATCACAGCGCTGCAGCAGCAGGCCAAACATGATGCATGGAACTTGCACGAGGACAACATCTTCGACATCTTCATGCGTCTGGCAGCCCGTAGGATGGATGCTTTGGGTAGTATACATTGCAGCTGAAGAGGGATGACGCTGTTGCACGTTTTTCACAGGCAGGCACAGATTCCATGGAACAGATATTCCACGTACCCCCGGCCGATGGGAACAGACTTCAGACAAGTGAACCCCCTGACTCCCGATGGAACAGATTGTATGCTTTTTGTGATATAAAGATGGACTGGACTTCCTGAATAAGTTGATATTCACTGACATGCAACATGTCAAACGGGGTGGTCAGTGTTTGTTCCATTTCGTTCCTATGTATTATTCCTGAGGATGGACAACCACGGCCGTTCTATGATGCACTCCCTGAAATAGTCATGGAAGTTGATGGCACCACCTGTTTGGCATTCAGAAAATAGTCATGCAAGAGGCTATGCCATCCATTGCCATCCACTTCCAGGATTGTTACAGGGAGTGTATCCTGAGAATGGATCTTTCCATGTTCAATCCAAAGTGATGGATCTTTGGATTTCGGATGGCATTCGTGTA